CCTAAGGTTAAGCTCTGCTTAGTGCTTTCTTGGCCTGCACTTCCAAATTTAAGAGGAGAGTGCAGAAAAAGCCAACTATGAGCATATGGTGTTGTCCTCTGCATGTCCTTCCTTCAAAGAGCCCAGTACAGCTTTGTTGTTCAGCTGTTGACAGGGTAACATCTTTAAATTTCTGCTTCTTTTTCTTGCTTAAATCCATGCTCAATAGATTATTATTTCTTTTTTTAATAAGGTAAAAATGGTAATAATAAGTTCTCTGCAAGCTTGTGGACGCATGCTGTTATCCCTGAGGAAGAAGCAGATTGCAAATACCTTCTCATGGGATTCAGTTTTGTAGGGTTTTTTTTCAGCTTTTTTTCCAGGCTGTACATGTTTAAAGAGGTAGAGGCTGCAGCCTTCTAAAGTAGTCTAGTGAAAGGTCACATTTCAGTTGTTACCACCTTGAAGTGGCAGGAGAACACACATTGTGAATTGATGCTGACATTCCAGGGTGAGGTCCTCGCACCTCTCCTGCTGGTGGGAAAATCTCCAAGGGGCTCATCCTTGTCTCTGCCTTTAAAGTAAGGTGCTGAATTTAAATCAGACTGGAGGCAGCCCGAGGGTTTATATGCCTGACTAGCAGGGATTCACTTTCAAAATAATCAGCCTCTTTCTCTGTGCCAAAAAAAAAAAAAGAGTAGGAGCAGCAACAGACAATTAAAGCAGTAAAATACTTGTGTTATCTGCTAAAGAAATTGTGGCTCTTTGGCATTCTAACACTCTAATAAAAAATTAAGAAAAAACTTACTCAGTGGTTTTGTAAAGTGAAAATCTACAACAGATGTCATGTAACATCAAGATGAAGTGAAAATAGTGCTTGGGCCCTGAGGCACTCAGTACTTAACATTTCAGAAGGAAATAAAAGTGAATTTCCAATCACGGTTAAGTTTGGGGAACACTGTGGAAGAATCACTGGCTGAAGAAGAGGGGTTAAAAAAGGTGCAGCAAACATCTTAGTATACTTACAGTGTTAGAGAACAGTAGTAGAGATAGCTCCAGTAGGCTTCCTCATGTTCCTCTTTCCAACAAACACTGGGCAGTACTTAAAAATGGGATGTTGTAAAATGCTGTAACCTAACAGCAAACTTGCACTCTTATCTGTAGGGGCATAATTTGATGAGAAATTGAAATGCAGTTTATTTTTCTTTCCTTCCACAGTGAAGTACAGGCTTGTGAATCTACTCTTTGTTTAGCAAAGGGAAACCAGTGGCTTTTCCATGGAATATTCTCCACGTCTGTGACATCTTACTGATTTTTGTCTCTCCTGCCTATGGAAGCTAAAAACTAGGCCGTGCTTCAAATTTCCAATGTGTGGTAGCTCTTAATAAAGGAATATCATTAGTTATAAAATATGTCTAGCCTGGAGGTCCATGGGTAGGGGATGGAGACTCTAAGCTGCAGAGGGCTGTTGCCAACCAGACAACTCAGGCTAGGATTTTGCCCATTACTGTGTTTTCTATTCATGTACCTACAAAGCAGAGATGATAAAATTTATCTATGTCCCAACTGCTTTGAGTTTTTAACAAATATTTATTAACTGGGTGCACACTTTTAGGAGATGAGTAATTAAATTTCTCCATCTTCTCGAACCTTGTCTCTTCCTGCTGTGTCTTTCAGTCTTGAGAGCACTTTCCAGTGGAACTATTGAAATTTAGAACAAATACTTTTATGCTATGGGAGCATATTAACCTCATGTTAAACTTTGCTTCATCTTCCCCACTTCAGCTTATGCTCATGTTGTGTTCCATAATACCTCCCGACATTTAAGAGGACCTGTAGATATTAAAGACTATTGAATTGTTCCCACTTGAATAAATGGGAATTTTGCCATTGGTTCCTCTGAAAATAGGATCAGGACCTGGACAGATGCATGTAAGACACACTAGTATCTTTCTTCCTGAAGAAACAGGACTCCGGGCACTTCTGACGCTTGTTCTCCAGCTCCTTGTGACATGCCTGCAACTACTTTTTTAGCTGTCCAGTACATTATAATGATCTTCCCATTAATTTTCTGGAAACAAAATCAGCAATGCAGGATTGACCAAAAGACTCCCAGTCACAGGTGCTAAGTTACACACGAGTATGAAAGAAAACGCATTAAAACCACAGGAGAACCCAATGAATTCATAATGAGCTGGTGCTGTCACCCTAATAAACAAATGCAAGAGAAGAGCTTACAAAGGTGGCCAGAACTCTTGTTTTTATGGATCTACAGGTACAAATGACTTTGACAGAAGCTTAGCCGTCACCTGAAAGTGCTTGGTGGATTGTGGCAGTGTCTGAACTAGTTTGAGATCCTGTGAACTGTAAAATGTACATCATCAGTACCCTAGCATATCACCTTTGGATTTAGCAAGGGCTAAACCAGCTGCTGAATTCAGAGGAAGATGTAAGGGGAGCACTAACTTACATTTTCAGGTGTGGAGATGGCACACTGCCCTGTCAGGGGCCTACTGACATTCCTCCAAGACGCTTCAAAGTAGACCAATAGCAGTAAAGAAAAATGGAGCCAACAAGATTGAGCTTGTCCCTGACTTGTTTTTCAATAAAGCCAGGATACACGTTCATTTTCAGTTCCATCCTACTCCTGCAATTTACCTTCAGATAACCAAAATTATGCACTTTCTCTGAAAGCAAGCTCTGAGGGCCTATGCCCAACAGACCATGTGTTTTTAACTGTACTAAATAAGCAGAGAAAGTGCATCATATCCTGCCTGTCTGGCCACAAACTGACTGACTCTGTTAGCAGAAAACACAGGCATGTTTGTCTGTTCTAGCCTGAATCCACCGGATTACTTTAAATCAGCTTAAACTTGCTTGTTTTGACCCCTGGAAGGCCAGGCACTGCAGGTCTAATACCTGGACCCCATTTCCAGACAGGTTGACAGCACAGGCATTTTCAGTGGTATGAGCAGCAACACTAAGAAAAAGCAAATAAATGTCCACTGAGCAGCGACCTTGCTAAATTACAGCAGGTAGCCCGAGCATCTGCTGCAGGCAGCACTTACAATGGGATCATAGGAACACACATTAGCTCTGGAGTATTGATCCTGCAAGGATCAGTGGAAGGACATTTCAATGAGAAAATGAATAATTCTTTGCTCTGATTATGATGATTAACTCTGTTATGTCAGCAGCCTTTGGCACTGCCAGTGACAGCAGATTTCATAAGGGAAAAACCTATTTCAAGAGCCAAAAACCTTAAAGAGGAATTTTGTGCATTTTAAGAAACAGTATTAATAAATTGCACACAAGCAGCTATAATTTTACATATATGCAGAAACACATATATTTCCTCAGTTCTGTACTGATGTATAATTGTTTTGTATTTGAAACATCAGCCAGGATAAAAAAGTGGCATTGTTGCTGGAATTGGCCAGCCACAGATGGACTCAACGTGGAAGTTTTTGGACCATATAAAGTTGAGCAGAAATTCTCTTGCAGGTGCCAATTTCACAAATAAGTGATCAGTGTTGAACTGGCAGGCATCCCGCTTCCCTCACTTCAAATTTGGTTATGCAAAAGACTAATCATCTATCAGGTACATCATTTAAGATGGCTCTTTGCTAACACATGGAATTGGATGGCCCTGGAGTTTCAATCTTTGAAGGGGATTTGGCTTTCAGACAGTGCATTAACTGGTTTCCTCTCCAGTTCTGAAGGTATGCACTGACCAGCTGTGTTCCTTTCTCCCACAGACTTTTGTCCCTTAGGTGCCATATCCAAGTTGTGCTCTTTGTCAGTTTGTTTCTGTCTTGGATGCATTCCAGCTCTTGTCTTTCATGCATTTGGTACAAGATGCATTTAGGAGGGAAGTATTGATGCCAGGTTCCCCAACCATGTTTTGTTAGGAGATGTTCATTTGGCAGTCCTAACATCACTAAAAATTATTATCAAAGGGCTATTCTCTGCCAACATATGACCTTTAGCTGTTAAGAAACAGTAGAGAAAGCACCACAAAAGCAGGTAATGCTATAATCAGTTCAGATATTTGACAGATAACAAGAAATGGCTCTCTTGCATTAAAGCATGCCATTTAAAAAGCTGGAGCAGCACTTTAGGTAGCTGCCCTCATGTCGTGATCTGTCTGCTGTAAAACATTCCCCTAAAGAAAGAAAATAAATGCCACCACTTAGATCTGTACATTGGTAATTAACAGGTTGACTTTCAGACCAGAATCACAGCAAACATTACTGCAGGTGTCACCTCCTTGCTCAGATGTGTTGATCACTTGCCTTGTACCAGCACCCTTGCACAGAATAATATTTGGACCCAGCATTTTGAACCCCAGCTGTGTTTTCTCACCTTATCAATTCATATAGGGGTTTGTTTCCTATTTAATTTTTTCGGGGGTGTGTATCATATGCAAGGAAAAGAGTTGAAGGCTGGGCACAGAAGAAACCAGTCTGTTTTTGATCTAATGAGAAAGTGCCATATAGACTTTTGTGACAGAGAGGAAACATGAACATTTTTATTGCCATAAAAGTTTTGATTATCTGGGGTGAACTTGTAATGACTGCATTTAGCCCTACCAATTACTATCTAATACTAAAAATGCTGAAAGGGTGATGGGCAAGTACACAGAGAACTACATTGATCTGCCATACCTACATAAACAAGGAAGTTATTTTAGTGTCAATTCACACTTTGTATACAGCCTGCTTTTCAACTATTCAAGGGAGATCAATATTTATGACAGTTCATTAGAGAATGCAGTTGACTTTTATTGTGCAGGCCAGAAAAAAAATGCAGTCACCAACCCACCACTGCATTAATGTATGAAATCAGTTAACAAAATGATTGTAAAAAATAACTTAATCTCTGATGAGCAAATGGAAGCAAGTTCTACAGCTCTCCCACATTCCTGTGTTGATATGAGAAAATGGCATTGAACCGTTATAATCAGTAACTCAAGGACACGACCTTCTGCTGCTTAGGGGAGTAAAAATACTCTGATTTTCTCCCCCAGTCCCAAAACCGTTGGTTCATATTAAAGAAAAGTCCCTCTTGGAGTTACAGCAGAAGTCCCACACTCTTAATTCTCTAACTTTGATATGTAAGTACCTGATAGAGCTATCCTACTGGCGCGTACACAACTCAGTGAAGCATTGCTTGGCTCCTTCCAAGTGTTTTTAGCTTCCCACCATACTAGGCTTAATCTTCTGATTCCTCGTAATGTGCATACCCACTAGCATAGGTCCTTCCTAAATTCAAATTGCTGAAGACATCTGTGGCCTCAGAATCCGAATCCTTCCCTCCCTCGTCATTGTCATCTTCATCATCCTCTTCTGCTTCGTATTCGTCATATTCATCCTCACGGTCACCTGCCTCTCCAGCCTTGCTGGAGGAGAGGTTCTTCCAGTAGGCATCATAACCAGAAGCTCCATCTGCATCTTCTCCTCCAGTCTGTCGGCCAAACTTCAGGGAGCGTGCTGCAGGCAGAGAAAAACCATCACGTTCCCACCCCTCAACAGCAATCCCACATTTCTTTTCTATCCCTTTTTTCACTGCTTGAAGAGCACACCATGTTAGGTGTGCCCTGTTTTCTAAATCTGACGTTTCCAGATTCAATCCTTACTCTAACAGAACCTTTCTGCTGCTGCACACAGAAGTGCAGCCAAGTTTGTATAAATAGGAACTGCCCCCAGAGTATGTCTTCGGTTCTTAGGATAATCCTTTGGCACTCTAGCCAAGAAGACCTGCAACTGGATGTGTGCTTTGCAGGCACAATACATAGGATGATTTATTCAAGAGTGGTTGGGGTAGATTGTATGCGTATCAAAATACATTTTGAAATTCATTAATCAGCTTCTTGTAGATGAAATAAGGATTTAAATGGTGACTTCTTTCTTTTCATTTTTTTCCCACAACTAAAATCTTAAACTAAACAAAAGTTTTCACTGTATTGGAATCAATTAATGATTAAGAATGAGACTGCTCAATTCTATAATTGAGAAAGTTTTTCCCAAAACAAATGCAGCAAAGCTGTGCAAAACAATTAAAAGTAACCAGATTTTACTCAGTGTTCCTAGGCAGAAAATGGCACTTGTATGGCTTGTTAGCTAGAGAAGATGGCTTACTTGACATGCTCAGATCCTTTGTCTGCTGAGTTTCATGGCCACATTTAGGGCAAGGAGGCTCTTTTCCTTTTTCCTGCTTGAAGACCTTACTTCGCACATGGTCGTCACAAAAACAAGCCTGTAGATTGAAGGGAGAATAAAAAGGCTAAATGTTTTAATCATAGAAGCATATTCTTCAGCAAGAAGCAAGCAAAAAAACTGTTTTAACAGCAGCAGGGTTTTCTGGTTGGGATTAAAATTTAATGAGGTCTATCTGCAGTGGATGTGGGGTCTGTGCACAGCACAACCACTCTGTGCTGAATGTAGATCCACAGCTTCCTGGGGAAGAGGCTGCATAAAAGTGCCAAAAAACAAGCAGAGAAAGTAATGTACTCCAGGGCTGGGTTGTAGTGCTGCCCACAAGGATCCTGGCAAACCTGGGTTTACGTTGACAAGCCTAAATAAAACACAATGAGGTATTTGCCAGAACACAACTATGCTAAAGGCAAGAATTAGAGATGAAAAGTTCACATGTTCAGCACCAAGGTGCAGCGAAGATACCTGGAGAAAGGAACAGTTTGGAATATGCCATTGATGCCATGGGAGAGTGCAGGGAAACATATGGAGGGTAAGAAGAGTAAGAGCGGGCAATGAACCAGCAGCTGGAGAAATCTGGGCAATGCTGACGATGAAGCAGGTGGAACTTTTTATACAAAATTACTTCTGAGCATGTAAAACCATGAGCCTGATGTCAACAAATTAGTCTGTTCACATGTAAAACTGGGTTAGCCGTGGTTATTATTTCTATTGGATCCAGGCTGCAGCAATTTCTGGTCAGATTGACTGTTAAACTTGACTGTTTAAAAAAACAACAAGTTTTTTAATGATTGTGGATCCACACTGGATCAAAACATATTACAAAGCCTTGCCTTCTGTTCAAGGCCGAGGATTTGTTTTGTTGTTTTGTTTTGTTTTTTTTAAAGCCCCAACATGGTACAGGCCCAATTTAAACTAAGAGGGCTGGACAAAGTGAAGATCATCTCAGCTGGCGTAAGGATGCACAACACTGGCAACAGCGGTTAACAGGCAAGCACAGATAAAAGACCTTTTGCCCCCAAGAGGTCTGCCCCCTAATATATAATACAAAAGTATATTTTTTTAATAATGGAGAGGAAGACATGACAAGACCTGATAACAGCCTTGGAGACCAAGAAGAATGAGCCTAAAATCACAGCTACCCACAACTGTCTTTACCTTACAACGCAGGCATGAATGCTGCCCCAGCCTGTTACAGGAAACACCTGTTGGAGAAAATCCATATGTCAAAGTCAGTACTTGGAAACTGCAGACCTGTGACGTGTTTAAAACCTCGTAAAAGTATGCAATACCATTATTGAGGCATTTGTTTTTAATTCCCTGACATAACTGTACAATGGCAATGTGAGTCAGCCATTTTACCACACAGAGACCTTTTTACTAGATTTTTTTTTCCAACCCTAAGCCTCATGGCATTAGTGTAATTTGACACAGGGAAAAAAAATCAAGAGGGGAAAAAGTTTAATTATTTCTTGAGCTTATAAACTTTTAAAAACAGAAGTTCCAGAAAAAAATTTGGTATTAAGTGATCGTCTTGTTTTTACTTTTCTCACAACATCAAAAGAAGGAGTGCTAGTGATCTGAGAACACTTAAAGCTTGCAAACTTCCAAACCGAGAAAAGTTATGTTCTGTATTTTCTGTCATATCATCTGGAAATGCACTTGATTGCACACAACTTCATATGAAAGTCTATCTGTGTTAAAGACCTGGACCTGGCACACAAGCTATAAAGAGCAAGATCAGTGCCCAAAATCTAACTTGTCTTGAGCTTCAAATTGTTTTTTTACTCCACTAGAGGGAGTACAGTAAAAGCAAACACTCATGAATTGGCAGAAACATGAAGTTGGGTGAATAGTTACTCCTTGAGAAGCAGTAATACGTATTTTATCAGTCTCTGTGTATTTATTCCCTTTCACCTTTCCTTGCCCCTGTGACAATGAAGTTTTTGAATAATAAATATCATGAGTTCTCCACATGAGCAGGAGAGCCATGGGATTTAGAGGTCTGTCACATGCTTAAAGATGGAAATGATAATGCATTTATATTCGTCATTTCTTGAGTATCTGCACTTTAAAAAACTTCTCTCAGATAGTAATGGGAAGCAACACAACCCTTTTCACAGCTAGAATGGATTTAGACTACAATTGCATGACCACATCTAAAGTTCACGTATTCTGTAAAATTACAGGTTTTATAATCTTGTTACCACACACTGACAAAAATCCTGTATCTCTACCAAGTCAGTGCTGTGCCAGAAAACATTGAACACAGTGAAAAAAAACCTCAAAAAAACTCTTTCCCTATTCAGGGTGTGATCACATCTGTGAATTAAAAGCTTCCAACAATCATTGAAAAAACATTCTTGTGGAACAGCTGTTGCTGCTTCAATATTGCTATGCAGGAAGGTATTCTGGCAGAATACATCAATGGAAGCTAAGGAAGGCTCAGAGAATCACTGGCTGGGAACAAAAGGGTGGGACATGAAAAAGAGGTGAAAGATCTCTAAAGACACCAACTGGAACATTGAAATCAACAAATATTCTAAACCAGGAGAGATAAATTAGGACAAGAGATTGGTCAGTTCTAAAGAAAATAATCTTAAGATGCAGAGCACCTTGAATTTCTTACAATAAGGATTGAAAATTATTTTATAGTCAAAATACGGGCATACAAGTTTTGGAAAGGAGAAATAAATGTCCCGTGGGATAAACCAAATAGTCATTAATGGTGGGTAGACAAGAAATACTTCTACAAAGATTTAGTTATTTCAAGCATGCATAGTCTTGGCCTGTTGGTGTTTTGTTGGTTTTTTGTTTTTGTTTTTTAACTTCCCTTGAAATTTCCCTGTTTCAGCCAGAGATGAGCAGTGAGTGAGCACAGTCAGGCATTGCTAACGTGTCCTCTTACAAACACCAGTTTCGGTTTTGTCAACACAATTAACTGAAGTTCAAAAGGACATAAAATCTTCAGCTACCTGTTCTTTACCCCGTAGGAGTGGACACGTATCAACACTTGATACATTACTGACACACCTGTCCACTGGTCAGTGAGGAAATGAGGACTGAAATTATGCTCTGGACTTTTTTGTCACTTCCTTCTGTGCTCACCATGTCCCCCTGAATCAGATGATGGCTGCTGACTGAGTCACAGCCTTCCTCAGGACTTCAACAGCTGCCAACCCTTCGCCAACACACAGGCCTTCCACAGCAACCTGAGAAAGTTTAGCCAGACTAACAGAGAAACATTGTTTGGGGCAGCTGTTTTCCACGAGGAACAGGTATCTAGAAAGAGCTCATTGTATGTTCAGAAGAGTGGAAGATAGCTCCTCCTGCCTGCAGAGCTTTGGGGAGTAAGAAAGCAGCATCAGCAGTCCAAGCTGTTTTGCTGCAGGCCCCACCACTGCCAGCACTCCAACTTTGGAGACTGCTGGCTCCTGCAAAGGCAGCTTCCCATGGCAGGCCTGTAGGAGCCTGGCAGGAAAACAACTGCCATGTATACTCTGGCATGGAGGAAGGTCAGAGACAAAAGTTCTAGTCTGGATAACTGGATACCAAGAGCTGGAATATACAAAAAAGGCAAAAGCTATTTGGGAAAGGTGATAGAGAGTATTCTGGAGCACAGAGGAAGCAAGTGGAGAGTCTGCTTAGCTGTGGTGAAAGGTACTATGAATAACTAACTTACATTTAAATGTTTCTGCTTCCAGAACTTGGCAGCTGGCTTGATGTTCAAACTGATCATCTTCACAGAGGAAATCATGGCAAAAAGAGCAGGCGAATATTCTGCCTCCTGAAAGATTTATCAAGGCAAAATAATCAGCAATGGGCACAGGCATCAAGTTCTGCTCTGCAAACAGTTTAGGCTGTAATGTTGACTGAAAACCAGGTCTCTCTTCTGTCACTAATGCTTCAACGAAGTCCTAAAATAGGCACTGCCATCCATTTTTACACTGACAAGTACCTTGTTTCCTACAATACAAGACAGCATAAAGAGAGTATTACTTCTAGTACTTCTTTGTTTTAATTCAACTATAGCATTAAGTATTTTCCTTAAATCAGATCATATTCTCATCCAGTCCCCTTCCCTCCCCTCCCCTTACCTCTGATATAAGCTTGGAATAAACATTTTAGAGGATTCCACAAATGAAGACCAGTATGGTTTGCTAAGCAATTGGGAATCCAAATTACCTGAGATAGTGCAGAAGAACGGAGTGAGAATGGCAGAAGACTGTGTTGGCAATTTGATGCAGTGCTTAATTATGCAAATAATTAGGCTGATAGAACCATTATACTTTAGGTGACACAATCATCCCTGACTTGAGCATTGTATATTCTTAAACAGGTTGTTTACTTTCCCCACTGCATAATGTCTATTTTTAAAACGGGGAGAATCCTTGCTTTGAACAAACACACTTGCAAGGACTAATCAGTGAGGATTAAAAATGCTGTTAAGAATATAGGTGCAGTATCTTAAGCAAGGCAATTTATATTTTCTTGTTTTTAAATGTGAGCAACCTACCATGGTCCCAGACACTTCTTTCACACTCAATACATTCTGCGTCTGCGAGAGGGCAGATACATGCATGTGTGCTGAGACACTTCCTCCCGTGACACACCCAAGCTTCACAGAAATCACAGATTGCACCCTGCAATTACAGAAAGATATCATCTCTGGACTTCTGCAATACCTAGAGAGAGACTCTGACTCCACAGTCCTCAGTGTATCCTAGTAAATTCCTTCTTTCAGTGGGTTCATTTCGATTGACTGGGAGAATACTGAACCGCATTTGCATTCCTATCAAGCTGCTCCTCAGTTCATCTTGTTTGTTATTCATTTCCGCAGGACTAAATATGAGGCACAATAACTTGGTTTTCTCCTTTTTCTGTTTTTTTACATTTCTTTTCTTAAATTGTGTGCGCATGAAAATTTTGTCCTCCAGTTGAAACCTGAGATCCACAAAGGATAACAGTGTTCTGGCAAAACTGGAATTTCGAAAAAGACATGAAAAATGGCAATAGTTTCTTATAGCTGAAGTTATTCATATTTTAAACCATGCTATATTAGAGCACATCCCTGCAGAGAGCAAACACCAAATAACTAACTCACTAGAAGTAAGTTAGATTCTTTAACTTTTCATTTTGATTAATTACAAGATCTTCACATCAGCTATCCTTAGCTGTAGCATTTCAGAAGCCTCCTCAGCCCATATGTAACTAACTACCATGTGCATTACATGCACAGAAAACTAAGAAAAAAATGTGAATGTAAATTAATTGTGAGGCATTCACTACTGCATGAGTGAATGCCAGGGATGAGTTCAGGAACATCAGAATGTAAAGGCCAGCTGTGTTACCGAGAAAAGCTGACTGTCAATTGGAGGTGGAAACAGGACAGAGGTTTAGTCCACATAGCATTTAATCTAGAGGCTGTGACATGTCATACCTTGCTTTCCAGAATGAAGACACTAACTTGTCCTTCTTAGAACAAAAATTCAAAGGCCTGAAGCTACGATTATCTCCTTTAAGACCCCAAATGAGGGTTTATATTAAGTAAAATTCCCTCCTAATGCTATGGAAAAGATTCCCCTCTGTGAGACTGATGATCTCTACAATACTAAGACAGCAGCAACAAAAGTCTGCAAGTTTTTGCAGAATGATCTTAGATTGTAACAAAGACTGAGAATTGGATATGGGGCATGTAAGCTCCAGTGCTGTTCATGCAGGTGCTTAGGGCCTGCCACCAAGAGCATCCAGGACATGGTGGAGCTTGCAGGAGTTGAATCTAAAAATACAAAATTTGGGTTTTCAGTACAAGGGAAAAATCAGTTTCTTATAGTAAAATAAGAGGGGGGGAAAACTTGGCACGGCACGGTATGTGCTATCATTCCATAAATCTGTTCTATCTTCTTTCAGAAAGATTTGCACAAAATAACCTCATACTGCTAAAAAGGCTTTAATTTTGTATACATACCACCATTGCTAGTCCAGTACCATACACACCAGCATGTTTTATAACACAGTCTGAAGACTTCATCATGCATTTGGTTTTTCCTGTTTAAAATAAAAAGGCAAGCAACCATAAGAAAACTATGGGAAAAAAAGCAGAATGCGTGTTATATAAGAACAGCACTTCACTAAATACCTGAGCCCAACTGTAAATCTAGGTAAAAATAATGCAGATAAAGATGTCTGAATTACTGCTGCATCCTGCAACCCACTTTCACATCTCCCTTAGGTTAACTTATTGTCTCTTTTCAGCCAAAACCTCTTGCCCCTGTACTGAGATAACAAGGCAATGTGTTGGTCTTGCTCTATGTTTTGAGGCACTGGCAAATATGGCAAATGTCAAAACAAACCAAAGAACAAAATTAAGGTCAAAGTCAAGCCACGACATCTTAAAAACTTGTATTTAAAACTGCTGCTGGTTCTGTCCCACCATAACAGCAGCATATGCTGTGTGCAAGGCACAAGAAAAAATGCCATGTTTTTAATTACTTGCAAGTACTTGGATACTTGGTTTTTTTGGTAGTTGGTTGATGTGGGATTTTTTTCTTTTTAAAAAAACGTAGATTAGTTTCTAGACAGAATAATTCACTTTAAATACAGGGGACAGGTGGGAGAAAAAGCCAAAGCATACACATAAAAGTCATTCTTACACAAGCAAGCAGCAAGGATGACAATTTTACCCTACTCCTCGTCTCTGACATAAACAGCTCTACCAGAAAGATCCACACTCTGTCTGCAGTTATACAAGCAAAAAGATCTTCTAGTTAGCTCAGGCTACTGCAGTGGAGTTTTATCACTGATTCAAGCTGTGCTGCCACAGACCCCTTGGGGTGTCTGTTATTGCCTGCTTAGAGAAACCAACAGCAAGGTGCTCCTTGCCCAACCCCTCAAGGCCTGAAAAACCAAATTCTACTCTGAAGATAATTAAATCCCAGTATGCAGAGTTCTGTGTTGCACCAAAAGACAGTTACCAAAGGGCCCTTGGAGGGTGAGGAAGTACCAGTGGTGGGCTGAGCTGGGCAATTAGGGGTGGGGGAGCATCAGTCAGTCGGTAGCACTGTAGTAGCTCCCATCCCTCAGGGACTTCTCAAAGAAAGGTGCTGTTGGTTTGTAGTGTCTGTCCCCAATGCTTGATTAAGCATTAAACAGCTCTGGTGGTCTTTGTTTGGAAAACCCTTGGACTCAATATAATATTATGGCTGTTGGCAGGAATGCTTTTCCTCTAGAAACATACTCCAGATTAAAATAAACTCAACACACAGGAGTCAAGTTCAGATGTGTATTGTAAGGCAGAGAGCACGTTTTTAGTTCTTCCCTGCATGATGACAAAAGGAAGACTTATGAAGGATGACACACTGCCAGTGCACACTAACAGCCTGGCTCCCAGAAATGCTCAACATCTGCAGGTCAAAACAAAGGCATTGGAAGCTGCAGATGTCAGCAGCTCTGAGAGTCACACAACAAAACAGCCAAATTACCTAATGACAAATTGAAACTCTGCAAGGATGTGTTGGAACAGTGAAACAACAAAATTCACCTCAGTAGGAAATTAATATCAACATCTCCTGCAAGCAAGCAGCTGTTTAAAAACAAAGGGCATCTTAGCCTGATTCAGAGCAGGGTTCTGTCACTAGGAGTCCTTCTCCTCTAATTTCAAAGCATCAGCCCTCTAGCCCATAACATGAGCAGTATATATTACAACCCCATGCCAGATGAATAATGTACTGCTGCTTTAATTGATATTGAACTGACCAGAAATTACATAATCCCTAAAAAAGCGGTATCTACTGGTGCCCTCCCAGCAGTCAGAGCACTCTTAGTTTTGCTGCCATTACCAAACAATACTCCACATGGTAAATGTACGGAAACAGTCAGTCAGATGTTCTCAAGCCCAAAAGGCAGTGAGACAAATTCTTCCAAAGATCAAATGCTGAAGACAAGCCCAGACTTGCAAACCTCTGGGGGTCAGAGGTATACACATTAGTGCATGATCAAACAAGGTCACTTCTCAAGGAGGGTATTCACAGCAGATTTAAAAGAACCTGCTCCACAAACCACAAAGGTACTTTTAGACAAAGCTACTCTAACAAAGGTACTGAGGGTTTAACACCACAAACAGGACTAAGGACAGTTTTCATTCATTAATTCTACTCACCACATTGTGCACAAATGGGTAATTTCTGAACAGAGTTACAGAAGTAGCAAAAAGCTCTGTTCTTCTGTCGTCTAGGCACATGGAGAAGAACAAAAAGATAGCAAGCATTAAAAAAAAGACCTGTGAAATCTTTGAAACTAATTAATATTTGAACTACTGGTTTTAGAAGGGGAAAAATTCTTACCTTTGGCACTTATCACATTCCTAAAGAGAAGAAATAAAATACTGGTAATTATTTTCATTCTAGGTAAAATATAAAATTTGCAGAAACCCACAGGGACTCTGAACTAAGTTATAATTAGAATCCAAACTTTCTATTCAATATTATACATCTAATGCAAATGTAAGCTTAAATATAAAGGAGGAATAGTAGGAAGAACGACATTCTAGTGGCATTAAATACATTTATGTATTATCACTGGTTTAACATGATTTAAAATGAAGTGTTTTAATATAAAATACTTTAGGTTATTTTACCATTGAAGCATTACAAGGATGTTTGGCCAAATCTATGTTGGCTCTTGAAGCCCTTATCTGCTTTTCACGTTCTCGACGGTTCTCAGCTTTCTTACGAGCACCAGTCTTCTTTTTAGGCATATTCACAATCTGTGGGGGGAAAAAATAGGTATGTAATGAATGCACACAAAATTATGTATGTAAATACGAGGATACAAGACACATCCACTAAAACTGGATCTTGGAGTTCACAGATTAACTGTGCTTCATCTCCATTCATTTCCTTTTCTGAAAGTTTCTTTTCAAAGGCAGAAAAAGGGGGCAGTCCATGAGGAAGAGCCATGTGATGAACCATAAAGAATCTTGTGATCTGAAAAAGACTTTGCTGTCCTCAACTTTCTGTTGAACTATCTTTGAAGTGTTTTGTCTTGAAAAAAAAATGAAACCACTGTGTGGGCTTGTTTGCGATGGGCCTCTGGTTTTGGTTTGCTTTGTCTGTTTAATAAGGAAAATATTCAGCTCATCTCCTCTTTCACATCTTGTTCTCAGCAACAGCTTCAGTCAGTTAAGAAGCATTCTTCAGGTAAGCAAACAGTGGTGTACTGCAAAAATGCAAATTTCACACTTCATGAAGGCTGAGAAAACAAAATATCATTATACAGATTTAAGAGCTATGACAAAGGGATGTTTGTACTGCTTATTTATCATTCTAGCGTATTACCAATGATGAAGAGATGAGCACGCATTGCTTTGAAGACACCACTGTTTTCCATAAAGGATTTACACTTAGTTAAGTCCATTTAGTTCCATTCTAACAGTCTAGGAGCGAACCAGTGCAACACAGTGGTGAGACCATCAGGCAAACAGTCAGACCACTGCTCTCTTGCCATGCCCACAGTGAACTCTGCAGTACTCACATATTCTTCGTTTACTTTGTGTTTATAATAAATTAGGCAAGGATTATCCTGACTCCATGAAATGGACAACTGAGAGATTCAAGGTGTAGCCTAATTTTAGAATTTCTCTTGTCAACACAGGCACTTCCTTAGGCTCCATCTTTATCACCTCCTTATTTCTGACGATGTAACTGTTGTTGGTGTCCTGTTCTAAACCAGATACAGGTTTAAAAGAAAACTAAAACCAAACCAACCAGCACCACCAATGCCCAGATTAGCACAATCTGATGGGAGAAGACAGTCAAAGGGGCAGCAGGGCTGTTTGCTTAGCAAGCATGGGAATGAGAAAGCAGCTAAGGATGAGGTGATGATCTCTCCACTGACAAAAAAAATTGCCTGTTCTAAAAAAATGCTCTCAAGTCTACGAACCCACTTCTCTTTGTTGCAGCTACCAAATCACACTTCCTTGCAGACAACAGGATGGCTGGATCTTTCCAAATGGTTAGCTCTTATTTTGGTACTTCACCAAAAGGTGCCTCACGTGCTTCTGTTTTGAAAATCTGGCCGCTCCAGCAAGCTGCCCCAACACACACTGTACTTGTACAACTAACCCACAGTTCCTTCACCTACAAGTACACCAACCAGTGCTCCTTGCTCTGCCTCTGATTTCTAAACCTGCAGAAAAACAGAAAAACACCTTCAGACAATTGGTAACTGAGACTCAAGTGTTATCTTAACATCTCAATCTCCACTTAAGGAGTTTGAAGAAAATCACTGCAGACTTGAAGCTTGGCAGAAACTGGCCCACATGATGAGACAGCTCTGCTGATTCCCGTAGGGTCTGTGGGTGGACATCAGGGCCACTGGCCTGAGGAAGTGAGAGGTACCTGCTCTCCCCAGCCTCATCCCTAACTCCAAGCAGACATGCATGCTACCATCTGTAAGGATAGTTGCAGCATCAACAGGCAAGCAATTCTAACATCTTAAACTTGGAAGAAGAATTAGTATCTCTGTTCAAAAGGTCTTATAAAATAATCCAAAGAATCCTAACTTTCCTGAACACAGAAATATATTGTCCTGACCAAATACTAAAATTTGTTTTTGATAGCACACATAAATCAGTTTTCTCACCCTGTAGCATTTTTCACCGTGTTTAGATCATATTAGTGTCATATTTTGTAGTCAAAATTATATTGCTGTGCTGCCTGCTGGCAACTGTCATCATTCTAAAGCGTGACATTTCAGTCCAACATGAGGCTGCACACTAATTTTCAGACCACTCAAATGCTGATTTAACGACAGAATCTAATGGTTAGTATTTATACCTTGACTTCTTCACATTACCTCATAATCCAAAGCATCAAAGTGACAAACTGTTTTCATGAAAAGCACTGCCTTGATGACTACTGAGGACACAGGTTATTAGAAACCTTCTAGATGGCAGTTTTCAGAAAGCTGCACTAAACTAAGTAACAACAGAATTGCAACGTCAAGTCCTTTTAACAAAGTTATGGAGTCAATCCAGGCTTTCAGTCACCATCCAATAACAACCCTGGGTTCCTCCTCAGCCCCAGAGGGTATGGCCACACTGCCCAATGAGGTGTGGGAGCCCTGAACTGGGAAGAGCTCTGCACGAGGGTGTTTTCTCTATTTGAAGTTTCCTATTTGGGAGCAAAATGCTGGGCCAGAGCAGCAGCTGCAGGAGTGAGCATGGCTCTCCAGCTTCAGGGCTGATGCTGTGGCACATGAAAGCACAGAGTTCAGATAATGGAAGTGGTGTCAGGGAAGGTTTGGGTTGGGTATTAGAAAAAGGTTCTTCCCCTAAAGTTGGTTGGGTGCTGGAACAGGCTCCCCAGAGAAGTGGTCACAGTTCTAAGTCTGATAGAGTTGAAGAAGCATTTGGATGATACTCTCAGGCACATGGTGTGACTCTTGGGGATGGTCCTGTGCAGAGACAGGTATCAGGAGGCTGTGTATGAGGTGAGCTGTGTATGAGCCCTGATATGTGTCACGTGAGTACTGGTCCCCAGCACCATGTTCCATCCTGTAAATTTTCACCTATTGTTGCTCATGTGCTGCATTATTTGCTGAGGTAAACCCAGGCAAAGACCACAGGCAGAGCTCCCACCACAGCTCCAAAGACTGTGTATTTTAACTGATGGCTATGCTGTGTGAGATACATTAACAACGTCTGGCATCCAAGTTCTGCTGGAGTCACACCATGCCTGTGCCGCCTTGTCCTTGGGGAGGTCCCAAAGACACACACTGACTGCACCAGCAGATTTCTGGGTCTCCTGTGCTGAGCCTTGTGTTGTACTCTCTTTCGGTACAGGAACCACATCATGAAGAGCTGAAACAAGCAATACATTGGTGGGGCAGGGGAACTGTCGGGTTACCCTTGTCATCCCATAAGCATTCTTGTCATTCCAAGCCTTCTTGTACTTGACCATCAAACACCTTCTACCTCACACGTATTCCAAATCTGTTCTACCGCTCATACAAAAATTACAGCTTAAAAAAAAAAAAAAAAAAAAAAAGTCCGCATTAGCGGTAGTTCATAATAATTGTCCTGGCACTGTGATTTGCCGTGACCTACTCCATCTTTCGGAAGCAAGGCGGCTACAAACTGCACCGTGGGACCGCAGCGCCCGGGGGCTGCCGCGCTGCTCGCCGCCCAGGAGGGCCGGGGGGGCTTCGTCAGGCACCTCTCCGGCACACCCCTTGCTCGGGAGCGGCACCTCGTCCCGCCGGGGGGCCCGGCGAGCCTTGCCACGGCATCCCGCTGCCAACCTGGACGGCCGCGCTCCGTGCTTCCAGGGGGACCTGGACACGGGGGAGCCAGGCACCGCTTCGCTCCCTCGGGCAGGGAAGCCGCGGGGGACCGGGACCCTCAGCGCCCCTAGCCCTCCCTCCCACCTCCCGCTCCCCTTTCCCTGCTCCCTTTCGTCTCTCCCAGCTCCCTTCACCCCGTTCCCCGCTCCCACCTGGCTCCGGCGGCCCTGCGGAAGCCGGAAGCGCCGTCTGTGCGCGCTTTGCGCTGCCCGCCCGGCCCGCACCGCCCGGCGCGAACGTTCCGGGGGCGATCGCGAGGGCCGCGCCCGAGGGTAGCCGGGAAGGGAAGCGAGAATCCCAGGGCAGGGATCCCAGCCTGTCTCCTCACGGGATCGCACTCTTGGGAGCCGGGAAACGGCAGGTTTTGACGCTGCAGGGAAAGGTGTTGCCAGAGTTTTGGAGGGAGGCATCCTAAAACAGGAGTAGTTGGCACCGGGGTCTTGTGTGCTATGAAGCGCTTGGTGTTATAATGAGAAGTGCACCGGCCCGCACTTTCATCCTCTTCGATTAAAAAAGAGACACCTTCCAGTACACCGGGTTGCTCAGAGAACCGTTCAGCCTGGCCTTAAACACTTCCAAGGATGGGGCACCCACAGCTCCTCAGGGCAAGCTGTGTCGGGGCCTCACCATCTCCACAATAAGAGTTTCGTCCTTGTATCTAACCTAAATCTCTCGTCTTTTGCTTTAAAAGCATTCCGCCCCCCCCTTATCCCATCACTATGTGCCCATGTAAAGAGCCACTTTCCCTCTTTTCTAAGAGCCCCCTTTATGTACTGAAAGGCTGCGGTGATGTCTCTCCAGAGCCTTCTCCAGGGTGAGCAACCCAAACTCCAATAAACTCCAGTATAATCTCTCTGCTTGCTTAAAGCATGCCATCAGTTTCACTGTGGTTGGGAAATCACTGAAAAGGCTTTTAAAAGCTGTTCACAGGGATGTCCCTACTCAGTGGCTGTTCCATCCTCAAGTTTTGTTCACTTTCGCTTAATGGAAACCAAATTTAGGGCATAATAATTGCAACATAATAATTGCGACAATTAGTTGTGATTGTAATTGGCTCCTGAAAATTGTCGCTGAAATATTTAATCAGTGGCTCCATCTGTTTTTAAAATTGATTAATCTTAATGGTAGGAACACAATGTAGTTTACAAATGGAAATAACACCCGTGCTATAAAAGACCCCTGCACACAGCTCTGTCTTGCCTGAGGTTATACAAGTCAGTGTCATAGATGGATATCACCTAGAAAACCCTTTGTGAAAATCATTAGAAGGTCTATTGCATAGATATTCAAATGAAGATGAGCACATGGATCACATTCCAGTGTGTTTCCTAGTCTTTTGCCTAGGAAGGGTTTGATACATATTTCATACAAATAAGTCCTGGGGCACTGTTTTGTGTGCTCTGATCATCCATTCCCATGGGTAGGGTGATTGTATTGCTTCACGTTGCACTTGGTCGTGCACTTCTTACTGAAAGTTGGCTACTGGTTATGGAATGTGATTTGGGCTTAGTGAGAGAGGCAGGTATTCACTGGCCACCATCACCTTTCCAGGAAGACTCTTCTAATTTTTGTTAGGCCAGAGTTTTATCTCCCACAACAAATTGTTTACTTGTCTCACCTTTCCTTCAAGATTTAATCTTCGCACCAGGTTAGTGGGATGGCCCAAAAAACAGCATTATTATTTAAAGGCAACAAATCATGATAATCACTTAGTTGGACATGTCTTCCTCCTGAAAAAGCGTGTGGAGAAGTAATTTTTAATTATTGTCAGTAGCCACGGCCACATGCTATTTACCTAAAGCCTAAGTAGGAAATATGATCTTTTGTGAGATGTCAGTGCTTTTGTTCTGTAATTCTCACTTTTCATAATGAAGGTCATTAATCATCAATATTCTTTTATTCTGGTTGTAACCATTCTAATCTGTTTTAGGCAGCCATAAATGAAAGAACACGATGAGGATAAATGATACAGTGTTGGAAAAAATACAAACAGAAAGTTTTAATCTATTTTAGAATAATTATCCTAGTCAGCTAATCTCCTTTCACGAATGAAGGAAACTGTTGAAGAAAGGATTCTTAAACAGAATCACAGAGTCACAGTA